GAGGTCGAGACGCCAGCCCGAGGTCACACAGCGACCCCCAAAATAACCTCAAATCCCAGCAAAACCCAGAGAGGTCGAGACGCCTGCCCGAGGTCACACAGCGACCCCCAGAGCAACTGATGAGGCCAGGCCTCCAGCCAGGGCCTCCCCCCTGTCTCTCTCTCTCTCTCTCTCTCTGTCCCCGTCCTGCCGCCGGCCAGATGGACAATTTGGGGACTTCTCCGCCCTGCGGGTGCCGGCCTCACTTCTCGAACCTCGTTAGCTCCTAGACGGACGAGTGACAGGCTCAGGGGTGGCCGGGTGACAGGCCGGGGACAGAGAGAGACAGCGAGCAGACTGGGGGACGCCCAGCCCCGGGGTTGGCTGGTGGGAGGCCGGGGCGGGAGGATGAGGCTGCCGGTTGTAGAGGCTGGGACTGGGAGGGGAGGCAACGAGAGGGAGGCGGGGTGGTGGCGGCCACTTCCCTTCCCCGCAGGTGACAAAATTCAGACTCAGGTCCCGGCCAGCCCTGCTATAAGACGCCTCTCCGAGCTTTGGGCGGGGGCCTCAAAGAACCGGTTTTGTCTGGGAGGCCGAGGAGGGAGGATCGCTCGAGGCCAGGAGTTGGAGGCCAGCCTGAGCAAGAGCGAGACCCCGTCTCTACTAAAAATAGGAAGATATTAATTGGCCAACTACAAACTATATAAGAGGCCGGGCGCGGAGGCTCACACCTGTCGTCCCAGCACTCTGGGAGGCCGAGGAGGGAGGATCGCTCGAGGCCAGGAGTTGGAGGCCAAGCCTGAGCAAGAGCGAGACCCCGTCTCTACTAAAAAATAAATAGAAAGAAATGAGCTGGACGACTAAAAATACATACAATAAATAAAAAACGAGCCGGGCGTGGAGGCGCATGCCTGTCGTCCCAGCTACTACTCAAGGGGGAGGCCGAGGCGGGAGGCTCGCTGGAGGCCAGGAGGTGGAGGCTGCTGTGAGCGAGGCTGACGCCACGGCGCTCACTCTAGCCCGGGCGACAGAGCCAGACTCCGTCTCAAAAAAATTAAATAAAATAAAATAAAACAGAGCCAGTGCTAAAGCAGAGTCCCAATGCAGGGACGGCCTCCCTGGTAGAGGCCGGTGTGGCCCTGGCGGGCTCAGCGTGGGCCCCGCTTCGAGACGGAGAGAGGGTGGCATTGGCGGGACTCTCTGAGGTCCGGCCTCCATCCTCTAACCACCGAGACCCCGGCCCGCGCCTGCCCGTAGCCGGCCTCGGTTGGGGGTGAAGGCCCGGCCTCCAATGTTTGGAGGCTAACACCAGCCTCCAACGCGATCGTGGGCGTGAGTAGAGGCTGGGGTGA